GAATTTAATTAATTAATAATTAATTATTAATTTAATAAAATAGGCCGCCTTTCAAACTCATCAATTAACTCTAAACACTTTCCTCTGTTCCACTCCATAGCTAGGTACAGTTTAAAAACACCCCAAACACAACGAACGCTCAAAACCGCCGTATCCACTGAACACCGGCCAACGAACAAATTCTTTTGAGCAAATCCCGTTTACCGACAAGCTTCGGAAAATGTTTGACGCGTTCGGTTCGGTTCGGCGCAACGTACTGACTACACAAACTTGTTGGAACGCGCGGCGCGTTTGGTTCGTTCGGAGTGTTTTGTTGCAAGTGAATACCAACCTTTAGAGCGCTTGCAGATACGCCGGCAAAATTGGTGCCGGAGTATTAGTATTATAATTAAAATTTTGTATCTTTCCTTCTTGTTAAAATAAGCAACAAATTTTTTTCGCAAATTGGAGATACCCACGCCTCTTCGATTGTCATTTGAACATTCAAAAATGTTGGTCCACTTATATTTTACCCTCCAAAGTGAGAATACTGAAAAGAATCTTGATTTTGATATTTGTACTTTAAGTATAGCTATAATTTTTGTACCAAATTATTAGCTGTCGGCATTGCCGACATTGACGGCGTTGTCTAGGAAGTCAACGCGTCAATAATTCAGTTGTTGACGTGACATTCTCGAGGTCGCCCAACTAACTCTGGCGTTTGGATAACACTGGTTCACCGTGTATATTTTACGTAAGTACTTCTTACGAGACAGAACGACCTACTTAACAACGGTCTCAGACAACCTTGGCACATCATTCTGTTTCATTGTTTAAACTAAAATAACGATTACAGTAATTACATAAAAATCCTATTGCTTCTTACGCCATGAAAAGAAAGTTTTGTACTTAACTGTACCATGAGATGGTATTTTATATTTTTCAATATTTTTTTATCAGTGTTATACATATTTAAAAAGTACATAACATTTATGCATTTTCTACAAAATTCATTCATTGACCAACTTCGAATTGAGGGATACTGAGTTGATCTCTTAAGGCTGTTTTGATTCCCGAATAAGATAAATATTTCTATACTTTATGATTATATGGAGGTATGAACTAAGAATTTTGAACACCCTGTATAGTTTAAGATTACGATATTTATAGCAAAGTTAAGTACATACTATCTAAAGTAAATACCTAATATACTTTTAATTTCTGAACACTTCTTGTATTTTTAATATTTTTTTAGAAAAAGCTGAAAACAGTTCTTTTTTTATTTATTTATAATTTTTTTTAATTTTTATCGTATTCAATCTCTGAAACTATCGAAACATATCTAATAATATCTTAGGATTATGTAAAATCAGATCAGAAAGGAAGCCAAAAATGCAATAATATACCGGGCTAATGAGTGGCTAATATACAAGTATTTTTATGTTCCATTTAAAAAAAGTCATCCTGATCCACTCACACTTTTTTGAGCCACACTGTAAAAGTTAAAATATTTTCCTGAAATACATCCTAGTATATATATACTTACTTTAGTTTGGCACCCTGCAAGGCATCTGTAACAGAGGTAACTGTTGCAGGGCAAGTTTTTGATAGGCACCCTGTGAAACTGTGAAAAGTGTATTCTCCTATTCATAAATATACATAAAAATTAGGTTTTGATTGAAAAAGCCATGAGCAAAGTCACGCAGCCGGATCCTGTACTATAAGTACAGCCTTTTTTCAAATTCAATTAAAACACGGACTAACGAAGTTATATAAAATTCCAATCCATTATTCCAGAGTTTAAAAAAAACATGGCGTTTTCCAGAGGGGACTCTAATGATATTTGTTCGACAAAGTCCATTTGTATAATCGAGTTTGTTTTTCGAGTATTTATTTTAAATGAAGTAAATAAAGGGTTTAAAAACGTTTAAAACGTTTTTTAACGGTCGTCTTTAATCAATTGTCAGACTTGAATAACAAAATTAATTAGTTTAAAGTTTAAATTAACTAGATTCTGAACAAAATAAACATATCATGTCTATAATAACAAGAATAATCTCAGACATTATTAGAAATTTTGAGGAAATTTTAAATTTTCTAAAGTTTAACTAAAAAATTGCAACAGAAATTTATTTTACTGCTTTTCCAAATGTTATTATGAATCATTCTTATATCAGAGATAAATAGAAAAAGTCCAGAAATATTTTTATTTTCTTTGATTAGATATACAGAGTGGTTCGAATTGTATTCAGGAAACTTCAGCAGCAAAAGTAATCTGCCGATAAAAAAATTAAAAAAGTTTGTATGTCCGAAAATGACTTGGTGGTGGTGACTGAGTGTTTTTGGAAATGAGAAATTTCGTTTTGATGTTAATATGACCAGATATTCATAGGGGGCACCACCTACATAATTTTGAACTGTTTTGAAGAGTCATTAACTTTTAGTTTTAGTCCGACGGTTTTCAAGATATTTCAAAGCAAAATAAAAACACTAAATCACCACAATACACCAAAACACTTTTACTTTTACACTGGACGCGCGTTTCGCTAACCATGTTAGTGTGTGAGTTTATAATCATCTGCTGATGATGCTAACATGGTTAGCGAAACGCGCGTCCAGTGTAAAAGTAAAAGTGTTTTGGTGTATTGTGGTGATTTAGTGTTTTTATTTTGCTGTGTAACACCAAAGGTTCCAACCCTCAACTGTAATATTTCAAAGCGAAATAATCAATACATGTCATCACTTACAAACAATTTTACACATGTTGACTAGACTGTAGATTGTTATTAGACTGAATCTATATCAACATCCATTTTTTCTCAATAATAACATGTATTAACTATTTCCACCCCAAATATCTTGAGAGCGGTTGCTCGTAGACATTTTTACCAAGATACCTTTTTTAGGTTAAAAATTACGGAAATGTATATATTTTTTTATTCAATATTTTATACAGGTACGGACAAACAAGTTATTACTCCTTTCAAGACTTAAAAAACATATAGGTAGCGTTCTTTGTAGCGTCCCTTACGAGTAGGAGTCATATTGATATTTAAATTGAATTTCTCATGTCAAAAAACACCCAGACACAAATTTTCATCAAAATATATAGATGTTCAAAAATGAAAATTCTACACCCTGTATTTCCAAAACGATACGAAGCATTTTAGGACATACATTTATACGAAGTTTTTTAATTTTTATCGTACTTATTTTTTTATGTGGAGAATGTGTTGACGATCTTTTTTTTTATTCTTAATCTAAGGATCTTTTCGATTACAATACGGACCACCCTGTATATTAATAAAAATTATAAAAAATAGATTGATTTGATTTTCAGTGTGGAAATTATGTTGTGTTTTATGAATGCCATTTGATATAAAATAAAATTAAAAAAAAGTTAAAAAAATCAAAAAAGTTAAGGATAGGCCCCGGAGGGATTCGAACCCTCGATCTCCTGTTTACTTGACAGGCGCTTTAACCAACTAAGCCACGGCGCCATCTCAATTGGTAAGCTCTAATACGTGCATATCAACAGAATATTAAAACTCCATAATAAATTGACGTATTTTATAAATACCAGTTATTGGAACATTAGTTTTCAATATTTCTTAGTGTAATGGTGGGAATAGATTAATAAGATAGTTATACCATTATATATTATATTAAATAGTCGTGTAATGAGGGGTATCGTGAGATGCTGCCACCATGCGGTTATTTTCTGAAGCTTAAAATTAATGAAAATCACCATAAATTTTACACCTCAACACTTCTTTCCTCTGACCACCAGGTAGCGCCCTTGTATAAAATTATAATATATTGTGAGTTGCCTACCTGTTTTATATTATAAGTCTTTTATCTACAGGATGTTTCAAAGAACATGTTCCTTCACTCGTGGGAAGATTTCTCATGTAAAAATAAGATTTATTTCTTATATCAACATAGGTTCAATTCTGCTTTCTACAGGAGGATAGTCTTAATTTTTTTTCGAATTATTAATAATTATAATTTTCTTCCAAGTGCTTTTGGCGATTAGAATTAAATTTTAAGGGTATAAAAGTTGCCATAAGTGCGACATATTTTAAAAAGTGTCAATATATTCACCAGATGTTCATGTCCATTGTATTATCAATGGAATATGTTTTTCTCTTGTTAGCATAATTATTGTGTAGGCCGTTTAATGTCGATTAAAAATTGTATCTTGATATTTTGTCGATTTCCATCTCCTTGATGAGACTGAATTTTATTACACATAATTATTAAAATTAAAATACAACTGAAATTAATGAATTATTTATTTAAATCTATTATCTATTCAAATTTGAACCGCTTATGATCAGTGCTACCTACAGCAAATTCAAGCAAATAATAATGATATTTAAGATAATTACAAAAGACCTATTTTTTAAGTTTTAACATTCTGTAACTTTAAAACTAGCATAGAATGAGTACTTGTTTGACACTTTGGTCAGTTAGTGCCATTCAAATATTTTCAAGGTACCATTAAAATATTTGGATTAAGGATTGGATTAAGGCAAATTAATAAAATTATGCTTATCTCGTCAATGAGACTGAAGTCATTAAAATATCAAGAGGCTAAGATACTATACTTTTAATCGACATTAAACGGCCTACACAAATGTACACTAACAAGAGAAAAAAGCCAGGGAATCACATTTATTTTTAGAAAAATATTCAATGATAACCCTTATGCACGCCCCTGGTAAATCTGTCGACGCTTTTTTAGCATTAATTAAAATAAAAAATATATCATTAATAAATTAAAAAAATTAATACTTTAACTTCTGTAGCTACGAAAAAAAGCAGAATAGGACCTATGTTCTATGTTGATATAAGAAATAAATTTTATTTTTACGTGTGGAATTTCCCCACGAGAGATGGCACGTGTTTTTTGAAACACACTGTATGTTGGGCATCTCGTGTGAACCAAACCAAAAAAGATTAAAGAAATAAGAGCTGAAAAAAGTCCCTGCTGTTTTATCTTTTTTTTATGTTAAACACTTTGTTATTATTTATTTATTTTAATCATAAAATATGATTTTTATTTGTGATTTTGCTATCCGAGTTTCGACATGTTCCAGGTAAAGTATACTTAGTGAATTAATAAATTTTTTAATTAATAAATTACTTCTAAACACAAAATTAATGTAAGAAATGTATGAAGTATTTATATATTTTTTTTATATAGTGGGTACACGAAAACGTTGAAGGTACTGAAATTGAGGTCTTGTCACTGGCACCTTTTACTCTGAATCCTAAAATTATATTTTATAATGTTCCTCTTGGTACTTCACAAACCAGAAAATTACTGATACAGAACCCAGCTAAGCAAGGAGTTAAGGTAACAAAAGACGCATATTATCTGTAGTATATTAATAGTTATTTATATATTATATATCAAGGGAATTATAAGAATAACAATAATTACACTTAACACACAACACTCGTGGTTAATATCCATGATAAATATCCATAAATAAAGTAAATCCATTTTACCCGAAGGAATATAAAAATATCTTCAGTGGCTGGGACAGAAAAATATTGTACTAGGGGATGTCGATGAAACAATGATGTAAATAAATTATTAGTGTAGTTGTTATATTATTACTCAAAATCTCTATTGTATTTCATGGTTGTTGCCTATAAATGGCAGAGGGAATTATGCCATCTTAATTCCCGTTAATAATATCCCAAGGGAGTTATGACTCTATTTATATTTATGCTTAGCGTATAACCAAGTCGAAAAAGCTTATACAGGGTTGTTCACCACATACGACACGGAGTATTGTAGCTAAACAATTAGATTTTTACAAATTGTAAGTTTTGGGTTCGTTGAAGGACTATTAGAACTACAATTTAAAAATATTTTTACAAGATACAGAGTGTCCCAAACATAGACTTAGAATAAAATATAGACTACACTATTTACATTTAAGCGCGGTCCAATATTAATTTTTGTAAACATGTTTACTCCTGGGTGCAGCTGACCTCGGCCGTCTGAGTCTTTCGCCTCCAGCCTATGTTGTCACGTCTAAAATATTATTAATATTTTTTTTGTTGTTATACACTTGCAGTATAAATTTTAAGGCTTCATTTCTCCGAGGATATCAAAGTTTTTAATACTAAATATTTACTGAAGTTTATTTATTGATCAGTTATTGTGTTGCAATAATAAAAATTATACTACCTTATACATAGTGTCTAAAATTTTATTTTAAATAATTACTAGGTTTAAACGGCAATAACTTATTTAATTTAAATAGAACACTGTATATTTTATGAGAATCAGATGCACAGTTTTATATGTCTATCAAATTGTATTATAGCACTTCTTACCTATTCCTTCAAGTTTTCACAGAAAATGCATTTTCATATAATTTAGACCTCATTTATCAATATACCCATGGAATATTGACATTTTAGATTGTTTTTAAAACAACAAATGTACAAAATGTACAGGCTAGTAATATTATCGTTTTTAGTAAAACGATAATATATTACTAGCCCATTTGTATGCAAAAAGAAAACTATTTAAATATTTATAACAGAGTATACCATTAATTAAATATACCGCCCAAATACTAATTAACTACATACTTAATTGTATTCGTTAATAAATTATTCTAAATAAATGTGGATTTGAATCAGAAATCAATATAAGAATAAGTTATGAAAATAAACGTCTCTGTCGTTATAAATAAGCATTTGTCAAAAAATTAAATATCATTTTTAAGGTGTTACTTTTTACCACACTGTCTAATACACATACATAATTCAGTTTTTTAGTATTTGGAGCAATTATTATTAATCAACGCAAACAGTCAATTAATGTAGTTTGAATACTGGAATCATATTAATTGGTCCTCTTTAACAAATATTTAAACAGTTTTTTTTATTTTTTTAATGAAATAAACGAACTATAGCGACAATATTAGTATCTGTACTCTTTAAAAATTTGGTACATCTTTAAAAATAATCTAAAATGTCAGTATTCCATGGGTATATTGATAAATGAGTTCTAAATTACAAGAAAATGCATTTTCTACGGAAACTTGAAGAGATAGGTAAAAAATGGTATAATACAATTTGATAGACAATTAAATTGTGCATTTGATTCTCGTAAAATATGCAGGGTGTTCTATTTAAATTAAATAATTTATAGCCGTTTAAAGCTAGTAATTATTTAAAATACATTTTTAGACACTCTGTATAAGGTAGTATAATTTTTATTATTGCAACACAATAACTGATCAATAAATAAACTTCAGTAAATATTTAGTATTAAAAACTTTGATATCCTCGGAGAAATGAAGCCTTAAAATTTATACTGCAATTTTACAAAATTGAAAGTATTTCAAAAACGGTAAGGTCACACCTCATCACTGAGTGCGCCGAGACGACAACCATTCGTGCCATGAACTTTGGTACGACTGATATTGGAGATGGAGAACTACCCTCTATAAAACCGTCCCAGATACTGGCTTTTGTCAAAGCCCTGGGACTGTATGATAAGTTATGATTCAAGAAAGGGGGACACAATGGATCTGTAAGGTCGAAGTGATTAACCCCCTCCCACTCATTCTAAATTCTAAATTATAAAAACGGTAAAGTTTAAGTGTAACAAACCTTAATCAAATTTACCTTTATTTTAATCGTAGAAACTAAAAATGTAATAATATATAGAGTGTTCCATTTAAAAAAATACAACTTTGATATTTGATTATTTATTTGGGACATTCTGTATCTTGTAAAAATATTTTTAAATTGTAGCTCTAATAGTCCTCCAACGAACCCAAAACTTACAATTTATAAAAATCTAGTCGTTTAGCTACAATACTCCGTGTCGTATGTGGTACAACCCTGTATAATAATTCAGTAAGAAATAAATAATATTTATATCGTTTTTAAAGATATTTGTGGCAAAAACTTTACCAGAAGAGTTACGTGTTACATTGAGTTGGACCGCAAGCTACATTGGGCCAGGTAGTGGAAAGATTTTGGAAATGACCTGGAATCCAGTGGATGGAGAAGCAGGAATATATAATTTTACTTTGACAGATGGTAAAAGAATCAACAGGAGTATAAGAGTTACTTTAAAATCTGCTGAAGCAGAAGTAAGTGTATAGTCTGTTCAGCGATCGTTCAACGTTACGTCATCATTATTTATCAAATATGCGATGTGCCTGTGTGCCTGAGATCATTTAATATTGTTTAGAAAATTTTAAATGCGTTCTGAAGTTATTAATTATAACCTCAAATCAAATGACAATGCCAATTACTAAAAACAAAGTGCAGTAATTTGCGAAATGCTGTAATGACATAATCAATCTCTTTCATCTGGCTGTCGAGAGTAAGTAAGTAAAAGAGACAGTTCGACAATATATGACGTGACATTGGATCGCTGAACAAACAATATTTTGTTTAGCTATTGTTTGTAAAACAACTAAACATTAGATTAACTTCCTCTTCAATTTTTTAATTATTCTGAATTATTTTACAGCGATTCAATGCGAAAGAAAAAGAAAAACTTCTGGAAAATGACAAGTTAGTAAAAGCTGCTGTCAAAATACAAAAATGGTATAGAACTATAAATTTGATGAGGGAAAGAAGAATATGCAAAATACTCACTGACAGCTATATTGCTGTAACGATGAGAGCTACAGAATTAGGTACCGCAGTCAGGCCACCAAGGTATGAGGTTTTGAACAACTGTCGAAGAAGTGCTGCTGTTTTCGAAAATTCAAAGCCCGGTTCATCGTAAGGAAAGCGTGGTTTCGAAAACTACGAGTCTTGCCAGTGTACAGGGTGTCCTATTTTTGTGAGTTTTACAGGGTTTTTCGTTTATGAGTAGAGATACAAAAATTCTGTTTTCTCGTCACTTTGCTACTTTTTTACTGAAGATGTTACACAAATAATTTGTCCTAGCCTTTTTGGTTCCTGAAATACAGAGGGCGTATTTGAGATTGATGCATTTTCTGACACCCCTCGTATCTTGGTTATCTTATAACTTATCGAAAAGATGAAAAATATGTCCTGTAGAGTTTTCACGTAGAATCCAGTGGTGTAACTAGTTTTTCGCTGGCAGTTGTCATTTTCGAAATATGAATCTCAACCTTATGTTTTGTTAAAGGGGACACCCTGTATATTATTTTTTCGTTTTATTTGCCTTGTTATGAGCTTTCCAAAAATATTTTATATTCTGTACTTATTTTCATAAATAACATAAAAAATGCATTACCTAAATTTATAACATAAATCAATTTAGTTTAACAGAGTATTATTATTTCATTTAATTTAATTTAACTAGATAATTTTGCTTTTCATCGTGTTGTCTTAACAAACTGAACTGAAAATGAACTTAAGCAGCTTTTAGATAACAAGCTGTCAATCAGAGATATTGATATTTTCGATGAATTTTTTGTGCAATCAAATCGCACACAAAAACTAGCGTGGAATAGTCAATAAAAAATAATTGATGTAGAATAATGTGTGTAGCATCTTTAGTTTCATAAAAAGTAGCACATTTTATTTCTACTTAAACAGGGCGTCTCAAAAAACATATGCTATCTTCCGCGGAGGGATTCCTCACGTAAAAATAAGATTCATTTTTCATATTAACGTAGGTCCGATTCTGCTTTATTTCGTGGCTACAAGGTGTTCAAGTCTTAATAATCTTTCAATTTATTATAATTTTCTTCCAAATAATTTTAATGATTCGAATGAAATTTTGAGAGTAAAAGCAGAGTTTTTTTAAATTTTATTCTGTAAACTTTGGTAAAAGTTACTATAAGTGCTACATATTTTACTGCTAAAAAAATGTCGATAAATTTATCAGGGACGTGCATATGGGTTATCACTGGAATATTTTAAAAAAAAAACATGCGCGACACTGACTTTTTTTCTTGGTGAATATGTCGACTCTTTTTTAGCTTTAAAATGTGTCGCATTTATAGTAACTTTTACCTTAACTTACCTTAACTTTAACTAAAAGTACTAATCGAAAAAATATTATGACTTTAACACCCTGTAGCTACGAAACAAAGAATCGGACCGTTGATATGTAAAATAAATCTTATTTTTACGTAAGGAATCTCCCCATGAGATAGCACATATTTTGTAAACCTAACCCCCTGTATACGATAAACACTATAAAACGCACGAAAATAAGACATTCTGTATCTTCAATGTCTGGATTATGCCAACCTAACCAAACATTTTCACTAAGGCAGTATTCGCTTGCTCTTCACTAATAAAAATACTAGAATTATCCGAGTAGATATGAATTAAAAAATCAGTTAATTGTTTTATATATTTTTTTATTAAGTCCGTCATATATATTTGTATATTGTTTTTTTGTATTTATTTTTTTATATTATTAAACGATGTTTATTTTTTAATTTGTGAGAAATAGACTGATACCTTTTTCTGCATGGTGTTTTTTTTTCATAACAAGGGGCCGTCCTCTCCCGGAAACACTGCGACCTGTGAGGCCTATTGTGTTTGTCCCCTTTCTATATCTGCACCCATTCTCCTATCCCTGTGCCCTGCACTAACTTATGCAGGTCCGTGATAGGATGGGAGCATAGTTTCTCCGGTTCTAGCCTAGCTTTCCCAAATAAAAAGTGTCGCTTGCGATCCAGAGCCTCGCAATGAGATTTTATGTGCTCCGCTGTTTCAGGATCTTTATCGCAGAGTCTGCAGCAAAGACTTCCTTGATACAGGTTGAGCTTGTTCAGGTAACACTTGACAGCCATGGGTCCTGTCAAGAGGCCTGTTGTAATCCGCACTTTATTCCTGCTAAGCATTAGCAGTTCTTTTGCGGTTTTAGAGCTAGGTCCTTGGATAACAGCCTTGCTATGCCTGTGTCCCTGTCTGTTTCTCCAGTGGACATTCTGCTTTTCCCTGATCCAGAGTTTTAGTGCACCACGGGCCATACATTTGGGTATTCACAGTACTGGCTCTGGACCAAGATAGGATGCCGATGATCCTTGCCTAGCTAGCTCATTGTTTTTTTCGTTGCTTTGGATGCCGCTGTGGCCCGGCACCCAGAATAATTTAATTCTGTTCTTTCGTGCCAGAGCATATTATAGAGCATTAAATATGTGAGGGAGACTTCACCATAATTGGAAAAGGTTGTAAAAGCTGAAAATGAAGATGATGACTGCTACTCCAGAAAATGATTAAAAAGAAAACATTTTCAATGTTTTTGACATTGGTTCTATTTAAACAAACTAATTTAATTATCTCCAAAAACAAGACAGTAACATAAAATGCGATGTCAGAGCTAGTGCATCCATATTTTATCACAAAAGTAAACAATATCAATTCGAAATACAACCATACATCTATCCTGTCTCCTATTTCAAGCGAGATATATAGTAGGGGAGCCCAATCGAGAGTTTTGGAATTTATTCAAGCACGCCAAAATAACATAAAAGGAGAAATATTGCACCCTGTTAAGTACCCCCATCATACGTTGCTAGTCTATACGCACGACCCTGTATAAGATAGAGGGTCGTGAGAGTAGGGCAGTTGATCAGACTAGTACAAAATTGACCGTTAGAAAAACTCGAGCGCGTCAGATTAAAGTGTAACAACAAAAGTGTTAACACTAATTTAAGAGACACAGACGAATGGGAGAATCACAAAGTTGCAAAGTTGCAAAAAGAACGTCACCTGGAGCGTGGTTATTTGTTATTTTGAAGGAAATAATTCAAGAATCAAGGGAATAATATAATTTGCCGATTTTCAGAAGCCGAATTAACTAAAATAATCAATAAGTATGGTGCTTAGAACTAAATAATATTTCTAAAAAATCTGCCATGACTTTGGTCGCGCCGAAATCGTCAGTCTTTTGAATAGGAACTTCTTTACGGTTTTTCTTCCCAAGTGGAAAACAAGTTAAAGCGGAACTCAAGAACATTGAAGCCTCCATGCGTAATGTGGGATCAGTCAGATATCCGCTAACGGTCTAAGATACTCGACGAACTTCTCAGTATCTACGTCGAGAAATACCCGGGAAAAAAAGATTTTCCTTGCTTTAAGTAAGAATAATCTTCGGATTGTCACGGGGTTTTAAAAGGACACTGTCTTCTCAATGAACATCTCAGTAGATTGAAGCTAAGAAACAACGGCGAATGCAGATTCTGTGGGGAAAATGAGTGAATACCCATCAATGAGTGCGCCAAGACGACAACCATTCCGGAGATGGAGAACTAACCTCTGTAAAACCGTCTCAGAAAATGGCTTTTATCGAAGCTTTGAGACTGTATCATCAATTATAACTGAAAAAAGAGAGACAATAGATCGCGGTGATTAACTTCTCGCTCCTATACAATCTACTATCAGAGATTATACAGATTATAATCTTTGTTTTTTCTTTATTGTTTTTCGTGCTTCCAATTTTCGGAATCGGGCCCACTTATGGCCTCTAAAATTGTGCACAGCGCCTGACCGGCACAGTTATTAGAGAGATATCGGAAAACCGAATAGCGTCATCCAGTATTTACGCGTACCTTATCATGGTTACGATATGCGCGAGTCAATTTTTAACGCAACACCCGCTAATAACATTACCGCCTGACGTAATTTGCGGATCAATTACACTAAGCGCTCTTTCTAAATAACCTCTGATAACGTTTAAAAATTGCTTAAATGGGCATGTGCGGGTATTTGACAACCGGAGCCGGCCGTCGAGACTATGGGCGTGATCTTTTATTTTAGGTTATGTTTGAATTGTTTTGAATTATTGCTTTAGTTTTATTAGGTAATTTGATATTTAAGTAGCTGGGATTAGTTTTAATTAAATAAATATGGCCCAAAATATGGATTCCACCTCTTCCCATACTAAAGAACCTATAAAGAGTCTTAGGTTTACAGCAGATGACGACTTCTAAGAGAATTTGTTGCTTGTTGCCCTAAACCCACTGGCAGACGTTGAACAATAAAGCACTGGAAATAAGCACTTTAGCCCTTTAGTTTTAAAATACCTAGTAAACAAAACAATTTCAAAGTTTTAAATTCAAAGTTAGGTTAAGTTTAAATAGCGGACGCGACGACGCGATCAGAATTCTTTCAGATCCGATAACTATAAATGAAGAGAGTTAATACCACCTCACGTAAAGGAAATAACACCTGGCCTTAGTAACGTCCACGCACGCTATTCGGTTTAGCGATATCTCTCTATTACGCTGCGCTGGTTATTGTTATTTTACGCGAGTTTATTTTTGCGCACAGGAAATTTGACTCGTTTGCACATCATCATAAAAAACAACTTTCGTACCACGAATTAGGGACAAGATTTTTATCTGTATACTTATAGGATACCTAATCTGTGCTACTATCTACAAATCCCATCTAACATCTTTGGCTCCCCTACTAATATTTTCTATCTCCGTCTGGCAAAACCTGTCTAAACGGTCGTACTACTAGTCGTAGGTATTTTATAGGCTCGCTGAATAAAGATTTTAATTTTAATCTCGGTTGGCTCAGGCAGTACTATTTTGACTTAAGTTGGAACTGCGCTCAGTCGCAGCGTGATCGTGTCTAACTTACGAGAATCGCGTTTAGGATGGTACTTACACACGTTTTTGGAAGTCATTCGTACTATCAGAGATCGATAAGAATGAGCCTTAGTGATGATAAGCCTGGTCGTAATATAGCAACACCTTTTTTTCTAAATTTTAGTACTCTACTTTAGTAACCCAGTCGTTTTAATAAACACATCTTTTTTTAAATAGTTTGTGTGATTAAACTAGCGTCGACGTGAGTGATATTAGTTGTGATTAGTGCTTTTCTTATTGTGTAGAGCAAAAATGAGGAATTCTCACGCATAATGACTCACAAACAAACAATAAAATATTGCTAGTAATAGATTAGGAACATTAATTGTTCTGAAACCTATTTTTCACGTGCCGACAAAATGAAGAGTTGTACTGCAGTACTGCTAGTATTTTTAAGTATTTATTTATGTGCTAATAGACAGACTAATGCTGCAAACCAAACTAAAGTTCCTAATAAACTACCGGTGAGTAGGAAAATATAATTTTTTTATTCATTATTAAGGATTGTTATTTATTTGTTAAATTAAAATTATAATTTTTGCATATCAAAGATTAATAATTATCTATCACATATACATTATCACATCAGACAACCTGTTTTGTATTCTAGTTTCTTTGTGGCTGTAATTGTTTGAAATAAAGAACAACATTGTAGTATTTCATTCATTAATTGTAATCATATGCGGTACGTATGCAACTACAAACGATAAGTAATATATAATTTTTATACTAACTTTGATGTGATGATTACATTCGTAGAAGTGTACTGAAACGTATTTTTACTGCTGTATTTTTATTTTTAAACAATTTGAATAAAAAATAGTAATTTATATTGTTTGCTCATTGTCATTGGTGTAGTCTAGGAATATTTTTGGTTTATTTATTTCCCCAGTCAGCAAACACTGTCGGTTGTTATTTTCATATATGTAGGGTTGGTTTTCCGATGGGTTCAGGTGGAAAATGCGTAAATACAAATAGGTACCGGGTGTATCTCAAAAGTGGCTCACCCCTATAACCCTATAACTTTTTTATTTCTTCAGATAAAAAACGAGATTAGGTATGCTTTGGTAATATGACATAAATTAGGAGTGATTGACGTATTCAATTGTTTTCGGTCACTTCCTGTTTCACCGGAAATTGCTACAACTTTTGATTTTTAAATGATACCCTCGGTATTTTTTATTCGTTAGAAAATGACATTCTGAATAGAATGACATATCACGTGTGAACTTTTGACATTTTCGCATATGGTGTATTTGAAATTGTAACATGCGGTTTATAACGACAATTTGACTCGAAATATCAAGTGTGTGGTATCAAATTATTCGTAAAAAACTTTTTCCAAATATGCTAATGAGCCACCCTTGTACCATTTGAAAAAAATTGAGATATTATTAAAAATACGATTTGGGCATCTTTTAATCGGCCTGGACAAGACACTAAAAACGATAATTAAATATATTTGTCCAAGGCTCCTCGATTAAACTATAGTGTTTTTAACACAGCCATGGCACTCTAGATTCAAATTTAAAATACAACTTTTTTTACGCGAGAATGTCAAAAGTTGACATAATATAGTTGTCATTCTATTCAAAGTGTCATTTTTTATAGGATAAAGTAAAAAAATACCGAGGGTGCCATTTAAAAATCAAAGATTGTCGTCATATCCGGTGAAACAGGAAGTGACAGAAAACAATTGAATACGTCAATCAATCCTAATTTATGTCATATACTAGCATATCAAATCTCGTTTTTTTATTTGAAAAAATAAAAAGTTATAGGGGTGAGCCACTTTTGAGACGCACTCGGTATACTGCACTTTTTTTCCAGCGATAAAAATTAGTTGAGAGATGTTATACAGAGTGAGAGATGTTATACAGTTAAGAAAAAAAATAATCTGGTTAATCTGTAAAGGCGCGTTCTCACGACTTGTGTACTTGACAAACATTTGTAATTGGTATACAGGGTATACACGGTGCGTCGGGCATCTATATAGAATTTCTAAGTCATTTATTATAGGAGCTACGCCGCATTCCCGCCAGATACTGTAGGCCAATAAAAAATACTTGCCAAGTACACGAGTCGTGAGAATGCGCCATTAGAATGGGTAATATGTTTGGCAGGTGAAAAACGAAGTGAAAAATTACATAAAAATTCTTGAAACCATACAAACTAATTTTTTTTGCAAAATTGTGTTAGGTACTTAGTGTGATATTGATGACTCTGATAACGTAAATAATGTTTGTGGTATTATAGTACCGATTGTTGTTGTAGACTATAATTATAGGACCATTTTTTTCCTTCTTGTTACAATGGAAACGTGTAATTATATTATGAAGTTGAATGTCAATCATATTTTGCGTGTCTCGTTTGAAATATTACACACATTGATCTTTTCTCTATTTATACTCATCGTGATTATAGAAAACTGTTATATACTCCTATTGTCTTGTGATTTACACAATTAGAACGTTGTGAATAATTACACCAATATAAATGAATATGAGCATTAGCAATGTATGATATAACTTGTTAAGTTCCACTCTCAGAACTACGTTTTGTCGCTGGCGACGCTGTTTGACACCTCAAACAACCAGTGAGAGCTGTACTAAATTTCAAATTGACAGGTGTTTGAATTTTGTAAAAATCACGTGTCGCTGGCTTAACACCATATCTGTGATGAAGTAAAATCTGTACTGATCTGTACAATCTAGATATATGGAGGTAGGAAGAATGAGCTTGAAGATGTTACATTACTGATATGGTAAAAGAAATTATATTTATTATTTAATTATTTAATATAAATCAGTCTAGTTTAAAAGAGTATTATTATTTTATTTAATCGAACCAGAGATGATTTTGCTTTCCATTCACATAAAACACTGTCAATTAGAGTTATTGACATTTTCGATACACTTGCGCAATAATTTCATACACAGAAACTAACGTGGAATAGCCAATAACCAAAATTTTATGTCGAATAAGTTATTCGATTGTTTTTAATACTAAATTTAAAACGGCCGCCTATGTTAAAAAGTTAAATAATGCATTTTTTACGTTGTTTATGAAAATAAATAGATAATATAATAGAATATATTACATTTTTCAAAAGCTCATAACAAGGGCAATAAAATAAATAATATACAGGGTGACCCATTTAAAGAAAAACATAAGTGTGGGTCATAATTCAAGAATGACAGCTCACTGTGAAAAACAGGTTACGCTACTAGATTCTACGTGAAAAATTCTATGGGTCTCGGGTTTCACCTTTTCGATAAGTTACAAGATAGCCGAGATACAAGGGGAGTTGAAAAATGCAATTATTTCAAATTCGCGTTGTATTCCAGGAAATAAGAAGGATAGGACCTCGGATAGGACAAATTTGTTTGCAGTATTTTTAGTTTCATAAAAATCTAGGACAGTAATGTGAAAACCGCATCTTTGTACGTCTAGTCATAAACGAGAAGCCCTGTAAAACTTACAAAAATAGGAGACTCTGTACAATAAAAATTGAATTGAAAAACTATAGGTTTGGTATGAATATAAGTTCGAATCGCCCTGTACAGCGTTTCCTGTCCAAGAAAAGGTTGATCGCGGATTACGAGGAAATCATGGTTGCGTAAAAAAAATAGAAAAATTCCTAATTCAGCAACTTCGTCACATAGGTATGGACGGACAAACGAAAAACACATAACGTAGGTTTTGTGTTATACAGTGCCTTTAAAATACACAATATCCTGTTTTATTATACCTATAAAATATAAATTTATCTGTATATGTGTGGCCTGGACGTTTCATCGTACAATAACTCATTGCCAAATAAAAGAAATGAGTTTTATTCTGACAATATTATAAACGGTTTCAATTTTACTGCCAATATTTTACGTTCTATTATAAATATTTTTCACACGGATGTCATAAATTCCATTATTGATTTTTCAAATCATATATATTTTCGGGGAACGTTTAATTTTAACAATTAGCAAATCACACCTCACGCATTGCAAATGCTTCTTCTATATTATTTGTTTTTCGTATTACTAATCAGGATCTTGCTACTTCACTCCTTAGCTCCGTCTACACCTATGGTCTACACATAAATCTTTACATATACCGGGTGCGTCTCAAAAGTGGATCACCCCTATAACTTTTTTATATTTTTAAATAACAAAATAAGATTTGGTATGTTAGCATATGACATAAATTAGGATTGATTGGCGTATTCAGTTATTTTTGGTCGCTTCCTGTGTCACCGGAAATGACTAAAACTTTTGATTTTTAAATAACACCCTCAGTATTTTTTTACTCTATTCGATAGAAAATGACACTCTAAATAAAATGACATATGATATGTGAACTTTTGACATTTTAGTATATGGCTTATTTGAAATTGTAACATGCGGTTCATAACCACAATTTGACTTGAAATAAAGTGTGTGGTACCAAATTATTCGCAAAAAATGCTTTTTCAAAATATGCCAATGAGTCACCCGTGTTCCATTTGAAAAAATTTGCGCCGGGAGGCACCTATATACCTATATAAAAAGTTGGTAGGCAGTTCTTTTAGTTTCAAAGTAAAGGAATTTTTCCAATTTTTTTTTACCTCAAAAACTGAGACTTTGCCTGATTTTGATGTTATTACAAATTTTGTTGCAAATATTATTCCCAATCTTAAATTAAAAACCGCGTTTCGCTAGCTACTGTAATTTTGGAGTTACGATTTTTTAAAATTTTTAACCCTCCCATACCCCCTTAACAACCCCCCACCCCCACCAAAAACTAATGGCCAGATTCACGGGTGTCACAGTATTTTTGTGCCAAATTTGGTTAAAATCGGTTTAGCGGTTTTTGAGTTATCGTTTTACAGACGGACAGACAGACAGACAAACAGATAGACAAACACCATGAAAATATTTTGTATTTAGGTCATTTATGACCCAAATAACTCATTTTGAGTGAAATTAAAAACTTTTTTTTATCGATCTTAATCTTAATAGCCTACAATACCTATTGTATGGTCGGCTAAAAATTGAGATATGATTAAAAATACGAGTTGGGCATCTTTTAGCCGACCAGGACAAGACTATTTATCTATTTTTCCAAAAGGCTCCTTGATTAAAAATTAGTGTTTTTAACATAGCCATGGCACTCCAGTTTGAAATTTAAAATATGATTTTTGTTGAGCGGAAATATCAAAAGTTGACATATTATGATGTGTCATTCTATTCGAGTGTCATTTTCTATCGAATAAAGTAACAAAATATTGAGAGTGCCATTTAAAAATCAAAAGCCGTAGTCGTTTCCAGTGAAACAGGAAGTGCCCGAAAGCAATTGAATATGTCAATCAATCCTAATTTATGTCATTAACATACCAAATCTCGAAATTTATTTTGAAAAAATAAAAAAGTTATAGGGGTGAGCCACTATTGAGACGCACTCGGTATACTGCACTTTTTTCCCAGCG